TGTTCTGTGTCCTCTCCTGAATATGGCTTGAATATCTCCAGTCCTCTGTTGATGTACTGCTGCAATTCTTTCTGAATGATCTTCAGTAAAATTTTACTTGCATATGATAGCAATGATATTATTCAATTGTTTCTGTATCCTATTGGATCATCTTTCTTCAGAATGGGCAAAAATATGGATCTTGCCTGTCAGTTGGCCTGGTAGTTGTTTTCCAAAATTCTTGGCATAAATGAGTGAGTGCCTCCAGTATTGCTCTATTTGTTAAAACATCTCAATTGGTATTCCATAAATTCCTGGACCCTTGCTATTCATCAGTACCTTGTGCAGCTTGGACTTGTTCCTTCCCTACAATCAATTCTTGATCATATGGCACCTCTTGAGATGGTTGGACATTGGCCAATTACTCTTGGTACAGTGTCTCTGTGCATTCCTTCCATCTTTTTTTGATGCTTCCTCTTTCATTAAGTATTTTGCCCACAGAATCCTTCACTATTGCAACTGGAGGCTTGATTTATTTCTTCAATTACTTCAGATTGTAAAATGGTAAACACCTTGTCTTTTGGTTTTCTGTCTACAGATACTTTGTCTTCCTGAACTGTCCTTTGAAAACTTGTTTGACTATTTTACTTAATTATTTCTTCCATTTGCTTTAGCTCTTCTAAGTTCAAGAGCAAGTTTCAGAGTCTTTTCTGATCCTTTCTATTTTTTAATTACCTTTTACTTTCTTCGTGTATGATATCCTTGTTGTCATCCCACAATTTGTCTGGTTTTCATTTATTAGTGTTCAATGCATCAAACCTATTCTTGAGATGGACTCTAAATTCAAGTGGGAGATACTCAAAGTCATACTCAGGCTCTCATAGAATGGTTTTCATTTTCTTCAGCCTCAACTTGAACTTACATACAAATGATTGATAGTCTGTTCCTCAGTCAGCCCAAAGCCTATTCTGACTGATGATATTGAGCTTCTCCATCATCTTTTTCAACAGATGTAGTCAGTTTTTGTCTGTGTATTCCATCTGGTGAGGTCCACATGTATAGTCATCATTGATGTTTCTGAGAAAAGTTATTTCCAATGAATAAGTCATTGATTTTGCAAAATTCTATCATGCCATCACCAGTGTTATTTCTATCAACAAGGCTATATTTTCTAGCTATTGATGCTACTTTCATTTTATCTCTCACATTTAAACCACTAGGTATTTCAATTCCTTACAATTGAATGTTTGATCAATTTCTGACTGCAGATGTTGACAAACTCTTCAATTTATTCATCTCTGTCATTTGTTGTTTTTATGTGCCATCAAGTCGGACCCAACTCATAGCGACCCCCCTTGGGTTTCCGATGCAGTATCACTATGG